TTGCGTAGTTCCAGATAGTTGTGTTAAGTCTAATTGCTGGTGGCGGTAGGCTAGCTTCTATGCTTGTTGGAACGGCTAGTGCGGTTCTAAACACTCCTAGAATCTTTCGGCATGCTAGGTTATATAGTGATTGTAGTATTGATGTGGCGTATAATTAGTTTTGCTAGTAGATTTGCGCTCCGTAGTCTGACACGCTGGTTACACATGCTAGATATAGTTGCCGGATAGCATGTGTTGATAGGCCGAGTTTAATGTTCGCTAGTCTTCCTAGTCTGTAGAAAGCTTGTCTAGCTTGGCTTGCACGTATAGACACATGTGATTTGAATGATAGACGGTTGTCTAGATAGATACCTAGCCACTTTACAGTGTCTTTGTGTTCTACCCAGTCGTTGTTTGGGAGTATGAGGGCTCTTTCTATCCTCTCCTTCTTAGCGGTGAAGTGGATTAGCTCTGTTTTGGATGTGTCGAAGATAATGTCTAGCTGCTCTCCCTTAGCAAAGAGTGTAGCTATCTCTTTTTGCAGTGCTCTTATGTTTTTCTTTAGAGAGGTTGATGAGGTAGTAAGAGATAGGTCGTCGATATACGATAGTTGAAAGCTTTGTAAGGCTGGGAATAGGTCTCGGATATAGATAAGAAAGAAGATTGGTGATACTGGGCTGCCCTGTGGAATGCCTGCTATAATCTTGCTAAATTCTTCAATCTTATTATCGAATGCCAGTCTTAGGGTCCTGTTTGATAGATTTAGTAATTCGGATGTAATTGATGTGTTTTAACTGATAACATGCATGCATTGCACAGACACGGTATGCCTGCCGGTTTTTCACAAACTCAGCCGCACCCACCCTTCCGCATGATTGCGCTGCAGGTAGTAGCTCCACCAACGTCCTTCATCAATCTGCTTCGTGTTTCCTGAGAGGAAAACAGTTCCCACGTGTACAGTTTACTACAGTATGAAATCAGGTGTACCGGCAGTAATGATCCAATTCTGCAGCTATTAGTGGTGCAAGGGCAGACTCCGCAACAATCAAATCAATCAATCTTAAGGTTGTCGATTGGTTTGATTAGCTTGCGGCGACGCTGCTGATTGATTGCGGATTGATTGTTAGGGTTTTTGAGCAGATTAATTGCGATTAATTAGTTGATTGGCTGATTAATGCTAAGAAGTAGTATACAGGGGGTTATAGTGTTGTACTCTAGCCTTCTATATCGCACTGTTGTACAATCTCCTCATCTTTGACGTCACTCTACTTATCTTCATCATCACCGTTGTTGTACAAGCCGTCAAAGCCAGCTCGTCTCCACGAACGTACAAGCTAAAGGGCAGCAAGTAACTCGCTGCCAAGAGCTCGCCGGCGCGGCTTAAGTAAATCGCCAAGCTCGCTAAAGAGCCTCTCGCAGTCGCAACTAGATGCTGGTATCGTGAGTATATCAATCGCAAACTGGCTTAAACACGGGTATTTTGAGCGTAATTGAATCTAGTACTTGACTGGGTGGCCATCGCTAAGATACTGTTCGCTTGTCCACTCTGGCTCTTAAGTTCTCTAGCGCTCGTACTCATCGTCATGGGCAGCCTCTACCTAAGCCTTGTTGCGCCGTACGAGGGCGCCAATCACATCATCTATTCCTCTATGCCTTGGTTTTGCAGTTGTTTGAGATAGAGGACGTGTACGTTGAGGCTTATACGACTGCCAGAGCTGCAGGAAGCCAGCGTTGGCTGATGTTAGCTATTCTGGCTTATCCACCTAGCTGTTCTCGCAGTAGTATTTGTAGTATAGATAGAGGCAGGTAGCAGCGTAGTATGCTGGCGATCGATCGAGCTTGTTGTAGTAATCGTTGGCCTTACTTTAGGCGGCGCAGAGGTTAACAAAGAGGTGATCTTTAGGCGCATTAGGTGGGTTGAAGTTAACTTGCTCGTACGAGCGCGTACGGGCTTCGAGCGCGCTAAGTACGTATTTAAATACAGGAATAGTCTCATATATAGCGCCGTATTTGCCTGCCTTTCCGCGACCCTTAAGCTTCTCCGTAGCAAGCTTAAGCAGCTCTAGGCAGTCCTAATACTCTGTTATCACCGCCCAATTAGCAGCTGTAAGTCCTGTTAATCTTATCTAACTAGGTGCTTTAGGGAGTTTATTGCCACGTTGACAAGCGCGGCGATCTTCAAGGGAGAGTGCGTTAATGTAGTGCTTAGCGTAAGAGTTGTATGCTGCCTAAAGTTGAGTTGCGCGTTTAAAGGCAGCGTAGTAAGAGTTCCAGCGTGTAACAACAGGCTTCACAGGCTCAAGTACGTAGAGGCGCTCTCTAGCTAGCAACTCGGCGTTGGCGGCGGTTTGGAAGCTTCGGAAAATTTCGTGTTGTTAAGGCGTTTTTATATAGTTGATAACGTCGATAAGTACACCTAAGGGCCCTTCTTGACGCCACTCCTGCATGTACACCTCCTCTGTTTAGAGCTGCTCGTCGTTGTTGTTGTTGTACGCCTCTTGATTGCTGCCAAAGATAATTGCCTAGCTAATAAGGTTAAGCGTGTGAGGGCCGCAGCGGAGGCGTCGGTGAGCAGCGTTGAAGTCGTACGCGTGGGCGAGCGAGGAGACTGCAGTATCGTTGTTTGCAGCATTGTCGAGGACGAAGTAGCCGAGTTTATCACTCCTAATACTGTATTCTTGGAGCCTCTTTTTAATTGTATCAGCGATAGCATCACCAGTATAAGAGCCTGCGAGATGTAGGAGGGCGATAGGGAGATCTTGTATCACTCTAGAGGCGTTAGCAAAGTGTGCAACGACTCTAAAGAATCCACGCTTGCCACCCTTTGTCGTCCAACCATCAAAGCTTATGTGGATCTTGCTTGCAGCTTCTGACAGAGCGCAGACAATCTGTGGCTGCATATATTGGAAGAGGCGCATTGCGTAGGTAGCTACACTGCGAGGACTTACCCACAAAGCTGCCTCTGCCTCTGGGTTTGCAAGGCTAATCATCTCGCGAAAGGACGGCCTTGCAAGTAGCTCCATTGGCAAGTTGTTATCAAGAAGGCAGAACACTGCAACTTCACGAAACTGCTGGATGTTGAAGTTGCCCATCGCGTTGGCAGCCTCTTGAGAGACTGCAACACCAGTCTCCAGCGTCTGTCGTAGAGAGAGTTGCTGCCCTGTTCTTCGAGGCTTCAGGCCGTCTTTTGTAAAGCCATGGCCTCGTTTCTAAAGGCCAAGATAAGCTGCAGCTAAGGAGGTGGCCTTTGATACGTCAAAAACTCCACTGCCGCCAGTGTCAATGACCTTGTGGATGTAGCAGTATTTGCATACAAACCACACTCGATTCTGATCGTAGAGCTCAACAACGCGATATCCATGTTGAAAGATCCAACTCTTGACGCGCCGCCCAGTTGTAAGAGGCTTCATAAACCGAGGGAGGCGATCCTAGTTAATGCCGTCAAAGTTATCGCCATTATTAGGCTCTGTATCAACGCTAGCCTCTGTTGTTGCTGCTGTACCAGCCTGGCTGCCCTCAGCCGCACCTTCCTCCTCTGTTTGCGACTCGAAAAATTGCGACTTAAACGTTGTGGCCTGGCTTACGGCGGCGCCAAGGGTTTCCTGAGGCGACAGCGATCGCTGAGATAGGACAGAGGACCTTGATAGGCGCGCCCGTTTGGCGGCTGCGGCTGCGGCAGCAGTGTTGGTGGGAACTCGAGAGCGTTTGGCCATCGTGGGCGATACTAAACACTAAAGAAAAATGTCTGTATAGGTAGCTAGGCAACTAGTGTTGTGTGTAAGGGATTATTAGGGAACTAAGTGAGCGAAATCGTTGTTGTATTAAGAACAGCGAAGGACTAGCTATATAGGTGCGGGGTGAAGCCTAGAAGAGGCTAGCCCCTAAGCAGAAGGAGCTAGTCCTATAAGAGGAGAGCTAGCTGGTGAGAAGTGAATGCATAGAGACTGGCTTGCCCGGCCGACAGGGATCACAAGCTAAGCGAGATAGGGGTCTAAGATAACTATCTTCAACACCAAAAACCTTCTCTTAATACGACACTACTCGCCTTACAATTCGTTAATAATAAATCAATCTAACTAATCAAATCAATCAATCTGACCTTCGCAAGTTGATTTGATTAGCTTTTTTGAAAAGCTTAGATTGAGTTGATTGAGTTGGTAAAAACTCCAAATGACCAATCAAATCAATCAATCTGACCAATCTGGATTGATTGTTGCGGAGTCTGTGCAAGGGGTAGCGAGGACAACACAATACTTGTCAGCTTATTTACGCTAGTCTTGCTAAGTGATCTTTTCTATGCATCACTTTCATTACACGCAGTTTGTAAAATGACTCTTCTTCTTTACATATTTAACCCCTCTTACAGGATCATAACAGGCTTACAACAAGTCTCTAAGTCTCCTTTTCTGTAGAGTAGACATCAATCTATAATAAAATTTATGGCTAGAACACGGTCGTCAGACAGTCTCGCAGTCTCGACCGCTCCTTCATGTCCTCACGTCAGAGATGCCAACAATCAAGCCTGCTTGATGGGCTTGATTGATTTGATTGAGTGAATACAATTGTCAGATAATAGCACTGTTGAAGATAAGAGCGTACAGACGCTGGGTTAGACTAGCGCGACCCGGCATCTGTGAGAGCCAATCGGATCACAGGAAGGCTTGGCACCCCCTAGGTGTGCCCACAACCGTAGATAGAACCACAACACAATTAATCATTAATATCATTACTGTTGGAAGGCCTTGTACGATCGTACGGTGAATAACAGTAGCTAAGGTAATCTTGTGTATTGGTATTCTGGTGTATGATGATTCTACGAATGTGGGGGCTACGAAGGTATACATAGCGTTGGGTCCGAGTTGGGCCGAAGTAGGATCGAGGCGGTACATTGGGCCTTATTAGGCGACACACCGTGTGTATGCCGACACTGGCAATCTTTTCTTATTGTAACGACTGATGTAAGGAAAAACGGGTCTTCTAAAAAGGGCACAATGAGAGGGATTCCAAATAGGCATATGTGCCTACTCCGTAGGTCGCTGCACAGATCCCTCTACTCGGATTGACAGCTTGTTGCTTTCGATGAAACGTTCTAACGCGCGATTTGGTGTTGCTTTCGTGAATGCGTCCGCGGGGTTGTCCTCTCCGTTGATCCAGCGGATCTCAGTGATCTCGCGACGCTCGTATGACTGCCGAAGCGCCATGATGTCGATCATCAGTCGCTTCTCAGCAGTTGTTCCGAGTTTGACGAGGCATTCATACAAGGAGTATGAATCCGTACACACAATAAGTGGGATCGGTGGTAGACCTAGGCGTCCTGTAATTATCTTGAGGGTTGTTAGGATAGCGATAGCGATGTCGACACCGCTAACCATGCCGTACGTTTCTGAGGCAAGAACGCTCCGGGTAACGCGTTTGCATTTGGTCGAACTCCAATGGATTACGTTACCACGAATATCAAACGTGCTGTCTTGTCGACTCGACTCATTCGCAAGGATAAGTAGGTACCCTAGCTGTGAGCTAAGGTCTTGGTTGTTCGCGAAGGATCCGTCTGTGAACACTACCAGCTTTGCTGTAGCGAGGTCGAGAGGGACGTATCGCAGGCCTCGTTGTATGCTCTCAGATTGCCACTGCAGCCGGCGGTTAAGCTTCACGTATTCTGTGTCCTTAGGTTGTTGTATTTGCGCAGCCGCGGAAAGATCGAACGATGCTTCAGGTTGGCATATCGACGCAATGTACGCGCCACGCGCGCGCTGCTCCATGTACTTCTGTGCTCGGTTTGCTGCCTTCGGATCAATGATTTCGATCTTGGCACCTTGTCCCTTCTGCGTAAGTAGAATCGTGTCTCCGCGCAACGTTAGAGTACATCCGTTGAACTCGAGTGATACTTCTTTGGACAGTCTCTCCTTGGGCTTAGCTCGAAAATTGGCTTTCTGGAGCGCAGCGTCTTCTGCACCAGAGAATGCAGGCGTCCCAATCGCGAGAGTATCGTCTGTCTGCAGGCCCACTATTCCAAACGCTTCCCGTCTCCCGTTCGTGATCAGGAGGCACGGGTCATACGTTGATGTAGCCATGTCGAGCTCCTTGCAGTGGTGTCCTTGGTACGTAGCAAACCAGTGGCAGAGATGTCAACAAGCAAGTCAAGCTGT